ATAGTTGTAGAACTGACCAGGAGGCTGAGGAGGGAACTGGTGAGCCATATGTGGAGGCCGAGGAGGATTGACTCGGGGTGCTGCTTCCTCTTGAGGTTGGTGCTGCATGGATTCCATCCGATTGGAGCTCAAATAGGCTTCCTGCTGAGACTGCGGTACTGACCATGATGGTGCCGACGTTGCCGGAGGCTGGGGCTGCGAGGAGGAGGGTGCCGACGTTGCCGGCCACGAATAGGTCCACTGAGAAGCCATCACGGGATGGGGGTTCATCTTCGACACTTGCTGATTGATTGATTAAACGCTAGGCATACGGCACGAATTGTCGAAACGACAAAAGATTTGCAACCAAGCCCAGAGCTTTTAAAGTAAACGAGAAACAGCGATCATCACAGCAGGTCAGCACAATGCAAATGAAAACCTCAAGAAGACCAACAAAATAAAGTCGTGCTTGAGTCATAAGGCCCTAGCGTGCACTTTTTGTCGCAAAATATCGTCGTCGAAGACGGCAGTGTGGCGAAGAATGCTCTTATTTGCAATGAAACATCATTAATTGTCATCGGGTGCAGCAGCTCTTGGTGCAGGTTCACGAGCGGAGGACACCTGTGGGCGGTTTCGCGTCGGTAGGCCATGCGAGTCCAACGATCTGGCTTGCTTCTGGAATCACCATCCAACACTTGCCCGACACATAGTGGATGACGTCAGGACGTTCACTGGAATCCAAGGCCTCAATGCAAGCTTGCTCTCCTCCTGAACGAATCGGCTGACAGGTACCGACAGCGCGCCCAAACAGCAGCAGTTGGGCCATGTTGAAAGACATGCTCCAATTCTGGCTCATCGTGCGGGCAATTTCTTCAGCATCGTAATCGGCGTGTCCCGTGATCTTCCAACCTTGGGCGTAAAAGGCTGGGCACTCCGAGGAGTGCTGCCGGGAAGGATGTATCTGCCGGCTTCGTAGTATGCCTCTGGTGCCGCCGACACTGGATGCGTGAGTCCAGAGCAGCATGGGCCGCGTCTTTGTTGGTTCCTTGAGCCGAACTGTGGCGCCAAGGTAGGGGATGGTCAGCATGAACCAGTGTGGAGTGATCTTGGAGTAGTGATGTTCCTGGTTGACCTTGGCATATAAGGGTGGGGTGCTGAGATGGTATTCCTGCTGCATTTAGAGTAGCGGCCACATAGTCCATCTGCTCCTGATTGACCGGGATCCCGTCGCGGACGTAAGGCGAGGCGAGCACCTGAAGTTCGTTCCTCCACGGGTCGGACTCCGGGTTGGGAAGCAGGATCAGCGGTGGGTGCACCTGCGATTGGGACGCAGCTGCATGCTTCTCGAGGATGACTCCGTGACTGGATGAGCACCGGTGGCCTTGGAGGCTGGAGCCGATGGGGCACTGCTTCTGCTGCGCGGAAGTGGGGATCTGTTGCTTCTCGGCCGCCGGGATGAAGCTTTAGTTGCCGTAGGCACTCGGGATGAGGATTTAGCTGCTGTGGGCGCCGACGCGGCGAGAGCCGGTGCTGCCGTGGTTGAATTATCCGATTTTGCGTCCCTTCGGGACATCGGTGGTGGCGTCCTGGAGCGAGCTCGACTGCGACGCTGTGGAGGCACTGACTTGGAGTAGGGGGATGTGTTATGGGAACGTGACCGTTCTCCCTCCGTTGCGTGGCGTGATCTTGCCGGTGGGTTGGTCGGTGGTAGGGGTCGGTGCTGTGGTCTGAGATGGACATGCTGTAGCTGGAGCCGTTGGGGTAGTCGGCGTCATTGGAGTCATTGGAGTCATCGGGGTTGCTGGGCGCGCCTTCACCAGGATTTGCGGCAGTGGGCCAGCAACGGATGCAGGCCAGGTAGGTGAGGCAGGGATCGATGCCGAGGCGTCGGGAGCAAGGGCTGGAACCGAAGGTTTGGTAGCCCTTGAGGTACTAGACACCGTGCCAGAGATGCTGGAGGTTGGTGTCACAAGTGCACTCCTGCTCGGTGATGCTGTCTGGCTCACTGGTGATCTGGGTGGCGTAGGGCCCGCAGTGTTCCTGGATGCCTTGGTCATGGGGCCTGCTGAGTTCGACATCGGACCTGCGTTGGGCCGTGGCATCTGTTGCCTGCAATTGCGAGCCAAGAGCAAACTGACGGCGTCATGGATTCATGCCTCATATGTCAGGTAGTCTGGCAGGTCAACTGGGAAAGTCAACCATGAAGTAATCTGGGGTGCTGAAACGTCCGGGACATGTCCAAGCCTGTGGTGAAGGGTCAATGGAAAAATTCCAGAGTCGCGAGTGACAAGGTCCGTGGTTGTCTGAAGAAGGTGTCGGTACATGGGTCATAACAGGTGCCCGCAAAGGGGATCAAGACACTGACCGAAGCCCGGACGCAGTGCCTAAACACACTTGATATGAGACGGCGAAACTGACAATGTGCACCCCCATGCAGGCACAGGCTGTTTGAAGGTCTCCGGCAGGGCAATGGAGTTTCGGCACCGAGGAAGTCTAGACATCTTTCGCCAACGCACTCTCCTCTTCCGGACCGCCAGCAGTGCTTTAGTTACTCCATGCTAGATCATCCAAGGCGGTGGCGGCCGACTCCAAAAATAGACACAGCCGCGGAACCCCTTAGAAACAGGGGGGCCACACACACACAGAAAGACACAGACACACACACACGCACAGAAAGACACAAACACATACACACAAATGCAAACGCAACCGCAAAGCCAACCAGAACCGCAAAGGCAATCACAAACACAAACACGCGAACGCGCATGCACACACGAACACAATCACACTTACACACACACACAAAGGCAAACGCAAACACACAAACACAAACACAAACACAAACACAAGCACAAGCACAAACACAAACACAACCACAACCACAAGCACAAGCACGAGCACACACACACACCCACACCCACACCTACACCCACACCCACACCCACACCCACACCCACACCCACACCCACACCCACACACACACACACCCACACCCACACGCACACGCACACGCACACGCGCACGCGCACGCACACGCACACGCACACGCACACGCACACGCACACGCGCACGCACCCGCACGCACACGCGCACGCGCACGCACACGCACACGCACACGCCCACGCCCACGCCCACGCCCACGCCCACGCCCACGCCCACGCCCACGCCCACGCGCACGCGCACGCGCACGCGCACGCGCACGCGCACGCACACGCACAGGCACACACGCACACGCACACGCACACGCACACGCACACGCACACGCACACGGACACGCACACGCACAAGCACAAGCACAAGCACAAGCACAAGCACAAGCACAAGCACAAGCACAAGCACAGGCACAGACACAGACACAGACACAGACACAGACACAGACACAGACACAAAGACAAAGACAAAGACAAAGACAAAGACACACACACACACACACGCGCAAAGACACACACACACACAAAGATACACGCACAAAACACACACACACACACACGCACGCAAAGACTCACAAACACACAGACAGAACCACACACACACACACACAGAAAGAGACACACGCAAAATACACACAAACACAGGCACATACACAAAACACACCCAGAGACATAGAAAGACACACAAAGACACAAAGACACACACAGACACACACACAAACAAAGACACACAGACACACATACACACAAACGCAAACGCAAACACAAAGCCAGCCGGAACTGCAAACTCAATCACAAACACAATCACGTGGAGGCACATGCGCACACAAGCACACACAATCACACACACACACGAAACACGCGCAACCACACACAAAGACACACACAAAAACATGCACACACACACAGAGAAACACAAGCACAAGGACACAGACACAGAAAGACACACACACGACACAAATACGCACACACACACACAAACAAACAACCAAACCAAATCAACCCAAGCCAACCAACAAACAAACAAACAAAGAAGCAACCAAGCAATCAAACAAAAACACACAAACGCGAACACACACACACACAAACAAACACGGACAATCGCAGACACAAGCACACACCCACAAACACAAACACACACACACACACACAAACACACAAGCACACACACAATCATACAAACACACACAGCGCACAGACACGCAAAACACACACAAAGACACAAAGACGCGCAAAGACACAACCACGCACACAAATACACAAACAAACAAAACACACACAAATACACAAACACACACATACACAAACGCAAATAAACATACACGCAAAGACACACACACACACACGCAAACGCAAACGCACACGCAAACAAACAAACAAACAAACAAATTAAACAATCAAACAAAGAAAACCAAGCAAACAAAGAACAACAACCAAAAACTCACAGACCACCAGTAAAGACAACCAACAAACACACAAAGAGACAACCAACCATCCAACAACCAACAAACAATGGATCACACAAACACACAGAAATACACGCACGCACACACACACAGACACAGGCGCGCACCCACACCAACCCACACACACAGACACACCAACACGCAAAAATAAACAAACGAACGTTTGAACGAAACAAGCAAATAAGCAAAAGACACAAAACACCAACGCGCACACACACGTACGCACGCACCCCACACACACACACACACACACGCACCCGCACCCGCACGCGCATGGCACCTACCAGCACCCTGCGCACACACACACACACACACACGCACCAACACGCAAACACAAACACACAAACACACAAACACAAGCACACAAGCACACAAGCACACAACCACACACAAACGCATAAATACACGAACACGCAAACACACAAACGCAGCAACCCCAACACAAACACACAAAGACAAGAACCCCAACAACCCAACACACACACACAGACAAACACCGGGTCAACAGTTTGCAGAGCAGCCCCATGATCTTAAACCAACCCACCGAGGTCAAATCAACCTACTCTAAACTCCAAGCTTTGGTCGCCACCTTCAACCAACCTTCACCCATCTTCACCCAGCTGGCCCAAGGACTACAAAGGCCTCATGGAGCAGCCCAAGGAGCCCAAGTTCAAGGGCGCCTTGTGCCAGATCTTCGTGCGCTCCCAGCCCTACGGCGGCTCCGACAAGAGCAACAACGGGCACCGCTATGACTCCGTGCCATTCGCCAACGGCATGATCACAGCTGGCATGCGCTTTGGACGCACGATGATGCAAATTCGAACTCTTGCAAATGAGGTGTTTGTTGGCTTTCATTCTGCGAGCTGCAGTGAGGGTGACATCATGGGAATACGGGATGCTGCACGAAATGCTGATTCTGGAAACGCCCTTGGACGAAAAACACAGGCCGTGGTCTCCATGAGCTTATCATTGCGAAAGTGCATCTTGCCCAACAAGCAATAAGGGCCCAAACCAGAATTCGCGGCATTTGCCAGCTAGATGAAGATGGCAAGGCGAGACTAAGCTTTCCTCGGGAAGCCGCGCGCCTTGACAGGCTTCGCAGCCGGAGCACAGTTTGCCCACTGACGCCTGGGGCAGCCCCTCATATGTAGATACTTCATGTGGCACCCTTCCCAAAACAACCAAAGTTTTTCACGCACCGCGATTCGCCGGGGTTTTCAGGTTTTGGGGAGTCTTGAAAGATGAGTTGCTCATTGCTGAAATCTTGCTGTACAAGAGGGCATCTATCAACCTGTCATTCCTGTTGCCTGGCGATAGCACGGGTAAAACACATTAAAGCGTGCACTTATCCGGAACCCCAATGGTTCGTGCCACCTAAAACGTGCAATGGACATCAGCGCCCAGCTGCAAAGGAGCTGCCAGTTGATCCACTACTTGCACGAGGATCATGATGCTTTCTTTGAGCTCTGCAAGGCTTTCAATTTTATCATCGTAAGGTGCAATCCCGGCCAGACACTCGCATACGGAATTGGCAAGCGTTGGGTACTTTCAGATACTTTCCTCGGACTATGGCTTCTGGACAGAAAGTCGGGGAGTGCCACATATGATTTGCATTGTGTTTGGCTTTTCCCTTCGCTGCCCACGGGCAACCCATACGCCACACAAGTCCCCACAAAGTCGCATCTCAGCCGCCACAGGATCAAGGCAGATGGCGGGGATCAGCAGAAGTTCGACGATGCCATGCGCGTAGTGCGGAAGACCGGGGTGCAGATTTGGCCGTCCCCAGACGTCATGGAGAAGATGGGCGCCAAGGATGCCTTGTGCAAGGCGGGCAGTGACCAAACCTATGACCCCGAGGGGGGGGGGGTCGCAGGGTCGGCATTGTTTCGCGTGGTTTTTCACCTCCTCGCGATTTCACGTGGAAAGCTGGCTTGGATTGTCGACTTGCCGAGGGGGCTGAGGGTCGTGCCTTTGTTTGTTTTAAGAGGTTCATGCATTCCAAGCCACATGTTTCAGAAAGAGCAGCATGCCTTGCTTTTGCCCAGGCAACGCCTCGAGTGCTGAGTTTCAAATCCAGGCCACACTTGTTTTCCTGGCAGCTGCAACCACCCCGCCCCCCGCCCCCCCCCACGTCAATTTGTGAAGCAGGTTTGAGCGGGGCAGAGCTGATTTCGGCCAGGTGGCCACGATGAACATCGGCTTGGAGGACACCTTGGCTTACTACTCCCCCGAGGAGTTTGTGGCGGGTTTCAAGAAGACCATGGCATTCCAGCCCCGCGTCATCAAGCAGAACCGGGGATCCTCAGGCAGCTTCTGGTTGTTAATGCTGAGTGTGGCCGGATAGGGTGGGTCGCAAACGATGGTTCGTCGGATGGGGTTACGGGCTTTGTTTCTTGTTTGTTGGATCGGGATGGTTTTCCGATGGTTTTCCGATGGTAAACGGGGTTGCGGTCTTTGTTTCAGCCAAGTCAGGCGAGGGCATTTGGATCATCAAGCTGAAGGAGGGCAACTACTGCAAGGAGTACGGTGAGCGATCCTGCGAGGATGGCGAGAAGCTTTCCCTGATGGAGGCCAACGACAACCACGAGGAGGAGCACACCGTGGCCGAGTTTATCGAGTTCTGCGTCAGTGGCCGCAACGACAAGTCCGGGGAATGGACCTCCAAGGGCGTGGGCAAGTACTTGGAGGGCGGCAAGGCAGCCGGTGGCCAGCTTGTGGATCAGCGCTTCTGCCCCCGTATCGTGGAAGGAGAGCTGCGCTACAACCTCATCGTGGACGCCCTGGTTGGCATCATCCACAAGAAGCCCAAGGAGGGTGGGATCTCTGCAGTGGGTGGCACTGGCTCCACCTACACCTACTACGGCCCTGAGGAGAAGTTGTTCGACAACTTGACCACCAACTTCCTGAAGAAGGATTTGCCCCACGTCATGCCTGCGCTGGATCTGGCGGAAGAGCCAGTGCCTCTTTGGTGGACCACGGACTTCATCAACTCTTCCCCTGAGGGCACCAAGCCTGAGGAGGAGACGGCTGGGGTTTGAAGCTGCTAGGGGAAGAATGCCCAGTCATATTCTTGGAGTGGACAGCTGCTCATGCCTACATTGGATGATATTCTTTGCGTAAGGGAGACCCTTGCTTGAGTTTTCACTGCCAGTGAGGGCCATTTCCCCCTGCTTTAGCAGGAGAAGTGGATCGTGGGGGAGTTCAACTGCTCCTGCGTGGGCATCTCCCGGTGCCTGGCTGCCTACTGCAAGGAGGACACCCCGAACGCCAGCTGGGACGACATCTCGGAGGAGGACAAGGCAGAGGCCAAGAAGTACGGGGATCTCATGGGGGAGAAGGCTTTGGCCATCCTCTCCAAGTAAATGGCTCATGTCATGGCAGGCTGGGTTTCACTGACACAGCCCCGCCCCATTTTGGGGGTGCCTGTGGGCATCTGTTTCAAAGCTAGGCCAATGGATCACTGAATCGTGCATGGCTCCTGCGGCCTTTTTGCGGCCCTTTGGCTGGGACCGCAGGAGGCTAAACTCCGGCGGCCGAAACGGCACCGGAAGGAAAATCCCGCCAGCCTGCCAGAAGAGTCACAGAGATTCCGTTTGCGTACGACAAAATCCGGTGCAACTCATTGGCCACTGGCGTGTCATGCTTAGGTCAGTTGGGTGGATCCCAGGTGAAGCTTCTCAATATCCAAACTGGATCCTTCACACGCGGCTTGCAGGCTGATGCTGTTCCCGCTGTGGCAGGGGACCTCAGGCTCCGATCAGATGGCATCCAAGGGCTTCAGCGGATCTGGCGGATCTAGCAGAAATGTCTGCCGACTCATTTGCTCTGTGCTGTCCTCCCGTCCCAACCACTCTGCTTGACAGTTAGTCACTGTTAGTCATGCTGGATTGCAGCTGAGAGCCCACCATTTACCTTGTGTGCCAGGATGAAATAGTACGCGCCGAGGCTCTACTATTTCTACCTGGATATGCAAGAGGCACCCGGCAAGACCACTCATGTGGTCACCAACCTGGAGAGAAGCTCGGCTGCAGACACTGAAGGATGCAGTGCAAGGCATCAAACTCGGTATGAAGTGACTTTTTCTTTCTTGGGTAGGTCGTTGAATGCCTGGAAGCACACAAGGTGGTGCTGACAGGTGGGGGAACCGGGCGTTTAACCGGGCATGATGCCATAACTAAGTTGCTTCACATCAACTTGTTCAACTCGGGGCTCCTCATTACAGCATGCACGGGCAAGACAGATTTCACATGCATAGTGACCGATACTCAGATTGCGAACATGGGCAAATGTGGCAGGTGCGTGAAGTGAGCACTGAGGTGTGTTCAGTACTTGCGCCAGATCAGGGCGGGTCCAGATGTTCGTGGCATCATACCGAACACAAATCCGAAGTTTGTTTTTGCCGTTCCTGCAGCCAGAGAATGTTTGAACAGCGATCTTTTTGGTTGGTCGCTCTTTGGAACTCGCGGCAGCCCATGCTGACGGTCCCTAGCTGACGGTCCTAGGGACCGTCTACCCGGCCACCACCTCAGTGCTGCTGGCGCTCTCCGTCTCATGGCCCGGGCTCCCATGGAGCGAGCATGGGGGGAGTTCCTGTAGGTGGGGGACGTGATTCGTTGGAGTCTGGAAGTTGAGCAGTGCGGCTGGCAAGCGTCCCTCTTTCTTTTTTGGGGGGCCAAGCGATGGAGGAGCGCAGAGACCCAGGGAGTGTGGGGTTTGGTACCAAGGGCTTCCTGATGTGTCCCATGGTTTGGTAGCAAGGTTGCCGAAACCAAACGAGCCTATATATAAGTGTTTGGTGCCTTTGGCCCGGTTCCAGTATAGCCCGAAGCTATTGTTTTACCTTTCACATCCATGCTCTTTGGTCAAGTGCGCTATGACTATGCGGGGAAACGTGTTGCTCTACAACAAGTGGCCTGGGTCAGAGATCCATGTACCAGAGTTTCGACTGCCCCGGCCCCACGGTAGCAGGTTGTAGCGGGGCTCAGGGGCTTCAATGGCTAGGAAGGAACCTAAGCCATGGCACACATGTGGGGGGACATCCAGACATCCCGATCCATCACTTGCTGAAGTGTTTGCAAAAGTTGGTTGGCAATTCTTAGGTGCAAGGTGTACAAGGCTTTATGGCTGTGAGTCCCCACAAAAAGGCGCACCCCAACCCAAGGTTAGATTCGAGCCGTTTTGCGAACCTGGCCCATGGATTTGTCATCCTTGGACCCCTGAAAACGACAAGATGGGAATCGAAAGGGACAAGGATGGCCATGTGAAAGGTTTGCATGTTCATAGCCTAGGGTGGAGAGGATGGGACATGCCAAGCCTGGCGACTCTCTAGCTGGCTCGCTCCTGCTCTTCGATGCCAGCAATGCTGTTCACGTTGAAATCGGGTTGAAGACCTACCGCAACACTGCGGTCTCCCGGAGGCCATACACTTGGGCAAAAGATGCTTTTTGGATTTGTTTTGGGGCCCTGTGTTGCGGCTTTTCTTTGCCTTCCGGGGCTGGGCACGCAGAGGAAGCCAACAGCCTTGCAGCAAGACAAACATCGGCGTTTTTGCATGCCTGCAGGTATGATTAATTGCCGGGGCCACTTGACCATTTGCGGGGGCCACCACCATGCTCTCTAGCCGATGGAATGGCATTCCAGGTTTTTCCCTCTCACCCGCGGCATGATGAAGGCGGTGAACAAAGCTCAGGCACGAGTGGGCGGCGCTTGGGCGTTTGTTGGCCTTGCGGCCAAGTCCAGGATTTCCGAAAATTGTGTTGCCTCCGCTGAGCGAAACAAGGAGGAAACGCGCAACACCAGTACAAGCCTGAATCCATTCTGGACCCATTAGTTTCTTGGAGTTGCCCTGTGCATACTTTCACCCCGCGTCAAAGATTTGCACTCAAAAACTATGTCAGCCATATGTCGGCCAAAGGTCAAGTTTGTGCTGGAGTGCATTCAAAGGCCGATGGTGTGCAAGAATGAATGCCACGTGCTTGTGGGTTAGCAGGTTGCGATGTACCTGAAGTTCTGGTCCGAAGCATATCATGTTTCTGGGCTTAGACAACGCGTGCGCCTGTGAATCGCGAACTCCAGGCAGGTGGAAAGGATGCTGCGAGCTCAGACGACTTGGGCCTTGCTTCCATTCTTGCATGTTCAAATTTGTTCAAAGAGGTCGTTGGCCCAACCCTGGTCCACCCTGACCCTTGCCAATGACCCATGCTCGTTGAGATGGCATGGCTGGTTTGAATCAAAGAAACAAGTCCGGCCGCCTTCAAACGAAAGCCGCCGGCCAGGTGAATACTCAAACGAGCCCCAAAGCCCTGGCTTGCTATCGCTTTTCAGTTCAGCAACCACAAAAATAAGCTCTGTATGTTTTGCTACAGTTTTCAATCCTGGCACAACAGTTACACCAAACACTTTTCCGCGCAGGGGGAAGGGCAAACCAGTTTGCCCGAGAGAACCTGGCTTCTTGAAGCCAAGGACAAGGAGAAGGAGTCCTGAGAAGCACCGTGCAGAAGTGAGCGCTTTGCCCATTCGCCCGGATTGAAATTTAACTATGGGGAACTCAGCCAAAACGACCTTCCCAGATTGTGGAGGGTTTATCGGCCTTTTTGTTTAGCGAAGTTTCGAACAAATGCTCGTTGACCCTGACGAAAAGCCAGCATGGTGATGTACTATATTTGGGGAAGACCTCCAAAAGACCTAAACCCAACAAAATAGACCCTACCCTCCCACCAATTAGCATGGAACCTGACAGGGGGTCCTGGAAGACTAGTTTCCTTTTAAGGGGACCCCGTGTCAGGTTCCACGTTAGTTGGTGGGTCACTTTCGGAATGTCGACAAGCAGCAGAAGATGGTTTCCCTGACAATCCAGACGGACCTTTGAACTTCTCCCCGGTTCTTTGGCCCCTGTTTGGCCAATAGCGTTTGCAATTCAGACCCATACGTTTATACACGTTTGCTTTGGATAGGTGGGGAGCGAGGGAATGGTGTTCAATAATTGGATGGAAGCCTTGACAGGGCCTTTGACAGGGCCAACGTCGGGTAAGTTTTTGTTTTCTAATTAGCATTTGACATTTGATTGGGACACATGGATGTTTGTGGCTGGGGCGATGTTGGTCGGGGTCGATGTTGTCAGGCATAGCTGTCTTGGAGCAGAGGCCCCAGTGGCGATGGGTTTGCAGGTCGTGGAGTCCGCGGCCAGGTTTGCCCAAACCGGGGATGGCCGTGAACAGCAACGGCCTACCAGAGATTTCAGAGGGGACCTGAACGCAGGGCTCAAATAGTTTCACCAACCGGTCCAGGGTTCCTTCACGGCATGACATCGTTCCATGGTTTGAAAGATATGGCCAAAGAGGGGCATGCCCCGCGCGAAGGAGACAAGTTTCAGGGCCCCCGCCAGTGCCAGAGGAGGGCATTTTGTCATCCTGTGCAGTGTGGCAGAGCTGGTGAGGATAGAACTTCGCCCAGCGCGTTCACTTGGAGTTCACCCTCACAACTTATGGACTACGTTGCGGATTTGGAGGGGGCTGAGAACTCATCTTACTCAGCGCCTATGATCGAACGTAAGGCAGCTCGTAGTTTGTTCGGCGCTGTGCGGTTGCCACGCGTTGGCTGGTTGCTCGGTCGTATTGCAGCCGACCGTTTGTCTGGTACAGACGTGCGAAGGTGTAAGTGATAGCAAGGGATGAGGCCGACAAAGCATATCAGAAGCAGTCAGCAGTCAGAAGCACTAATTATTCCCTTTTCAGGTATAACAATCAAGATTTGATGTGTTTCTTTTTGCCTCCCGAAAGCAGCATGGAAGTGCATCGGCGTCCCTTCCATCCAGAGCCTGCTGGTTTCCTGACGTGTGCCCGACGGGCCGAAGTGGCGTGGAGATGCACTCAGGCTGCATGCAAAAGGGCGTCAAACGCCCATAAGGTTGTTTTTCCGGGCACAGTTGCTTCCATTGCCAGGCCTCATTCAAGCCATGTGGAGAACCAACTGATGCTGTTGCTGTCACACCCCTGAGTTGCGTTGTCTTTGGGTGTGGGTGCCAGGAGGGAGGCTGGATTGCATCGTGCCGACGTTCTTTGTTCTGGTAGTTTTGCCAAGGACTTCAGCCATCGCACCCAACGTAGTTGCACGTTTCAGTGAGCTTGGCCTCGGCCACTCCATGCCACTCCGCCCATTGGACGACTTGTTTGGCCGAGTTGTCGCAAATTGCTTTAGCGTGTTGACCGCGGCAGTGAAAAATGGACATTGCAGGGAAGTCTTCTTGCATCAAATGGGGCTCCATGCTTCTGAGCGGTGCACAGCAATCATTGTTTGGTATAGCAATGGCCTTGGTTAGACCCTCGTTTGAGCTGGCTCCAAAACCGACCGGAGGCCGCAGGGTTTGCAGGGTTGCTTTTCTTTTTTTTGCATACGGCAGTGTGGGGCATGAACGAACCGGATGTTCCGTCCTGTGAGTGGTGGCAGATGTATGTGAAGAAGGTTCACTTCTTGACCCCAAACTCAACAAAACGTGCGACTGCGCAGGGTGATAAAACGCTGGTTGCTGCGAGCTATTAAAAGTTGACCAACACGCAACACCAAGAGCCAGTTGGCTTGTTAATGTCATTTTTTCCACGTGAAACCAAGC